GGGTGATTGCTGTGGCAAAAAGATCGATAGAAATAGCTGAGAAACGTGCGAAACAAAGGACCCGCATGGTGTGGTGGTGAACGCGTTACTCCCCGGAAAGGATAATAGCGCGTTCGTTCCCCACCATAGACACCTGCGGTCCAGAGTTTTGCAAATATCTCAGCAACGTTGTGGTTGTATTTCGCTTAGTAACCTGCCATGAAAATTATAGAAGGCAGAAAACAAAACGTTAAACATCATGAGGTGTTACTTTGTTCTTTATTGACAGAAAAGGTGACCTTTCGACGGATTTTGTCTTCTGTAACACCTTGTGTTTGCCCAGCAAGAATATGAAAAAGTTTAGATTGAAGACATTAGAAGAGAAAATTATAGAGCGTGAAACCGATTACAGCAACATGTGCGACAAATTTCTTGACCACAACGTTTCGTCCTTAGAAATAGAGAAAGACTACATGAGAAAAGTGTAGAAAACATGCGATGCTTACAATGAACACAAATAAAGTTACCTCTGTGCGTCTAGGCTGACAGTTTCGTGTGTCAAGAATATCAAAGATATCTTAATACACTTGTCGACCGCAACAGCCTTGTCAAGGAACTCACCAAGACGAATAGACGAATGCAAAAGCTATGGCACATTGGAAGTGGGTACGTAGCCTTTCTTAGAAGACAATAATTTCGGTATGAAAAATATCAATTCATTGCGAAAGGTACGGTGAAAAAAGGAACGAAAGTGAGGAATGTGCATTGCAGTCGATGCGCACCGTCCATCAAGTGCTCTGACGCGCACGCAGAAATCCATGCACGTCGTAGCGAATGCGAAAATGACCGCAATAATGGTATCAACAGGCGGTTGAAAAAAGAATAAGACTTCAATAATATAAAAGATGTAATTTGAATACTACCTTGGCAATAATCCTGTTGCCATCCTGGTCAAGAATCACTATACCTTTCACACTGTACAACGATGTTGGATCCTGAAAAACAGACTTTGCTTAACTGTGTTTCTCGGCGTTAATCCATCCTTGAGGGATGCGCTATGCATTCGACTTCACTAAGTGTCGTTGGAGGTGACTGAATGCCTATCTTGCCTTTATAATGACTAGCGGTAGTCTACCGATGTATCGAAACAGTGATGCTATCCTCCCAAACAAGTCTGGTACCAATCTGCCGACCCTGGAGGGATCAAGGGCATGGTGGGCTTGGAGCATGTGGATATTCATTCATCTCATGTGCAGCACCTTGAGGGCCTCCAACTACTGCGTTACACACGTCCCAAGGAAATTATATTTGAATACATCTCGGAACTCTTAAAAGCAAGAGCCGAACTCAGAGACTATTACACCAAATGGAATAGGTAATAGAAGCCACCAAAATTTCTTAAAATAACGAAAAATCAGTGAACTCTGTCTAACTTTCTAAACGACAAGAAAACTTTGCTATGAGTTTCTCTCATCCTGTTTCTGACTTTAATCGTCTAAAGGGCGGCGTAACCTTATTTAGTACCGGATGATAGCCTACTAAGGTGTAGAACAGACATCACTCGATTGCCCTCAAAAAAAAAACCTCACACTGTAGACTTATATGCAACATATTCCAAAAAAAGGAACATGGATCTCAGATCAGTTGAGGACCTCAAGGATTCTGCACAAAAAAGTGACAGAACGGATCACTGCAGTGAACGACTGATTACCCTGTTGACTGCGCTCAACGTACTATTCGCGATGGTTAGGTTAAGCATTTTGAATAAAACCCAATGAGGAAAGCAAGAACATTTTCATATAAATCCCAAATGATGAACCATACTCGAGCTGTAAAATAGTGATAGAAGTCATGTAATTACTAATAGTAACGTCTACTTCTTATTCCAACTTTCACAAATTTTTAATCAGATCTTCCTTTTCTTATAGCACTTCCTAACGGTAAGACAAATGAGAAGACAATACTGTGAATAACTCGAGATATGACACCAATGAGGAAAAATCGGTGATGAAGTCGAAAAAGAATAAATGAATTTTTAGTCGTGGAAACCATATTCTATTCGTACTGTAGAGAAGGTGAAGATCAGCTTAACTGCTTTTGGCTTTTTCAAAGGTCACCGATCAAGTGATAACCATGAGACTAAGGCCGAAAAGACTAACGCTTCATTTCGTTAAATTGTACGCCGTTGGGAACCATAAGTAAATTCCTGTGGTTTTGGTTCCATTAATGAGATTGACATACGCGTTGAAAGCTTAAAGTTAACTTTGGCCAAGCGTGATGGTGTCCTGTCCTCGTATTAAAAAGTTAACTACCAGGGAAAAAAAGATGACATTAGGTTCTCTGAACTATTCTGTATTTACTGATAATCCAACGACTAAACTACGCGACATTAATACCTCTACTCTTCAATGTTTTCTGTTAAAGTTGAAAATTCTTAAATAAGACGTTCTTTCCCTTCTAAAGCTTTCGTGAGAGCATTTTCCGTCATATCTTCCCATGATAGTATACCGTTCTCCCAACGGTTCATCGCTTCATCGCAGCTGGGAAGTGTTCTTGGGTATCGGGCTGCGATGTAGAGCGGGAGGATTTGTCCCCCTGGCAGGGGCTCCCAAGTTGAGAAGGAGTCCGGTGCTTCCATTAGGAAGCCTAGCTAAGAGTAAACCAATACCATGATCCACCACCGTCTTGGTATAGTCGCATGGTGGCAAATCTCCCTCTGATCCACAAGAGCTGCGGCTGCCTGTGGTGGTGAAGACCTGGGGCAAACTTTGGCCAGGCTGACCCCGAGATTCCAAAAAACCACAATGGCCAAACTCTGAAAACTCAGAAAAAACAAAAATTGTGCTGGGACCTACACAACCAGTGAGGACGAGCCGTCCAAGTAACCAAGTAATAGTGAACTGTAAGCCTAAGGGTAAAATAACAATAAACACTCATTATTCACTCCGTTCACAGAAGGTAAGATTACAAAAACAAATCATACCTTCATTTACAACCTTTAGGGTTTCTCACAATCATAAACAATCGTGGTCAATGAACACGTATTACCGCAACTGCAAAATGATTCCCGCAGAAAATAAGTAGGAACTATTACAGATTCTTCAATAGTAAAAGCAGAGAAACTCCAAAACCAGAAATTATCGAATTTTGATATTACTATGGAACAACAACGGGGCGCATCTGGTGCAGTGGTCGGATGCGCTTTGCAATACAAATAGAATCAATCCCCGTGCCGAAGGCTCATTAAGTCTTCCAT